GTGACTGAAGTGAGGATGTTTTGTACATGTGATTATAGCCTATTCGGTAACCAAGCTTAAAGACACTCTCCCTGCACATATTCTGGGCATAATTATAGGTAATTTTACCTCTATTCATTTCTGACTTTTCTAGATTGGTAAAGTTGCCAATAAAATATTGTTTGAGAATCTGGGAATTTGAAGAACCAGCTGGATAATTACCAATTACCAACTAGTGGCTTTGTCTTCACACTAACATGGGTTTTCTTCTTGGGGTAATTAGCATACCAAGCTACCCCAAAGTAAGAGCAAAAATACAGTGAGGACAAAGTACTTATTTTTACCATGAGAAAAACTTGCTAGGGGCAACATTTTACTTTGTGTTAGTATTGCTCTTATTTAATTTACCTTATGGTGAAAACAAAAGTCCTTTTTCTTCTCTGTGTGGGTGACTAACAGGATTGAGCCTCAGTGGAGGCCATGATGTCCCCTGATGGCCACATGACTCCTGCCCCATTCTGGCTTCCTGAGTCCCCTTATTATTTCCTCACTTGCCACACCTTGATGTAATGAGTTGATTGGTGAAAACGGAGACTACCCTAGGGTCCCATAGTGAGGCCTTATCTATCTGTCCTTCAGACAAGAGGTCCTTCCCAGACCCTACTGGTCACAGTCCTCCCACTCAAGCACTAAGTGGGCCATCCTGGCCCATTTCCACCCTGCAGGGCACCTGTTGCCTTAAGAGCTATGTGTTGCCTCCTTTGACCCTTACAGCCTTACCCATGCTTCACAGATGTTATCAATTAATCATTCATGTCAGGCCTCCCTAGGCCTCTCCACCCTTGTTAAGGTCTCAGTCTTCCTGGCTTCTGCCCCTTTCCTCTAGCTGGGCCTATTAGCCCAAGCCCACTGTATCAGGTGCCAGCTTATAGGTTCCAGTCCTTGTCTCACCCTCTTGGGCTTCAGGCCCCTGGCCCTGGTTCCTGCCCTTCTCAGGCTTTGGGTCCATGGCTCTAGTTCCTTCCCCTCTTGGGCTTCATCTCTATTATTTTTTCTAGAGGAGACTTTAACCCTCTAGGCTTCTCCCTGTCTATCTCTTGAGCCCAGACCCTAGCAGGGCTTTAAACTACACATGTTACTTGGGCATCAAAGTGGCCTTCTCATCTCCCCTTCTAGCCATATCCAGTCCACCAATATAACGCTTAAATAAGAATACAACTAAAACTCCCCCCACACTAGGTTATATGTCACTGAAGACTATAACCTCCTTAATTACAGTTCCCAGGGCAGCTCAAGTAGCAGTCAGCCATCCTCCTATACCCATCTTGATCAGGAGCTCCTCTACCTGCTGCCTATAGGGCCAGACTGCCCTCAGGCACTGGCTTTATGTACAGTACCTCTAAAGCCCCACCCCTTCCTGTGAGGTGGCTGAAGCCACCTGACTGCTACTTCCTGTCAGCCACAAGGGTTTCCATTTAGGCCTGCCTTTCTCTGTGGTGTCTTAGCTGCGCTGCTTGCAGCGCTTTGTTCCTGGGCAGTCTAGATGACTGTCTCCTGTGCAGATTACTATTAGTAGCTATCTCTCTAGTGGTTAGCCTGCTTCCTGGCTCCCCATCCATCCAGCCAGCCTGGTGCATGATCCTTCAAGTAGCAGGAGCCCCTGGCTCCCTGTTACAGTGACATGCATTAATTACCTCAAAGGCAGAAAACACACCTGCATTTACCACAGAAGATTATATCAGAGGATGCAATGTCTCTGAAGGGAGACTTCAAGAAGATGTAGGTAACTATTTACATACAGAATCATGGGAATAAAGAAGGCTGTGCCTTCAAAATGTGCTGCACCAGGACTAATATATGAGACTGAGCACAGGGAGATCTAAACAGGTACTATACACTAGTACAACAGCATATATTGTATAATAACATTTCTCCCATATTGCTTGGCATTTAAATGTATGCATGTGTTTCACAATTGTTATATCCTGATCCTTAGCCCTATCATACAAACAGGAAAAATAAAGTGCACACAGATGCATTATCTGTGTTGACAAATATCACTGGCTGAGTGAGTGATAACGCTGAAAAAATCCCTCAAAACTGTGCGGGCCGGGAGCGATCCGGGCCCTTTTTTGCGCCGCGCGGGCTGTGGCCAGCAGCCCAGGCATGCTGGGTCGGAGAGAATAGGCGACACGCTAGAATTAGGCACGGACGCATAATGGTTGATTCAAGATTGTTTACTTACACCGAAGATGGTCGCGGTGTAGGCTGGACAGTTTCCCAGGCATAGCTCCGCTTAAATCCTTGTTTGAGGACTCAGACAATATTCGGATCACTCCCACGGAGTTGTCGAGGCTCCGTGGATCCTTTTGCGTGCAGGGAGAGGGATACGTCGAGGATTGCACTTGGCGACGGGGAGAGGCTAGAGGCTGATCAGACCCCTGTTGCCTGCTTGAAATGCACTGGGTCCGATAGGCTCTGCAGCGCTTAGAGATCTTCACACAGCGCGAAGTCTCCTCCTCCTGTTGTTCGTGGAGTCCTCCAACTTGGGCGGAAACCACTCAAGCCTTTTATACGGCTAGCAAGCCAATCGCTAGCCGCCACGTGTGAATAATTTCACGCAAGCCAATAATGGGGCTCGAATTATAATACAAATGGCGGGAACTCTTTGCAAAGTGCATTTCTGTGCTGCAAAGAAGAAATGCACACTGCAAAGAAAGCTACAAATTGGCGGGAAAATAATTCAGTGGAGCCAAAGCGCACACAAAACAAAATTACACCTTTGGGTTGTGACAAAAACAACTAATGCCAGCATCTGTGGGTAACCAATTAGAAATGCAAAACTGGAATATTTAAACAGGGTTACATTAGGTACCATTACTTAAAATACCCCAAGATCTTTTGTTACCTATTCCATTTGGGGGCGTCTGCTTGTTAGAGGCTTGTAGCATTACAAAGACATCATTTCTAGCACTAGGAAAGTAAGGTTTTCTCACAACTAAGTGAAATGACAGTGCTGACAAACTTCAAAGGAGACATGTAAGTCTACTGATCTGAATGAGAAAGGTGGCCATCATGACTTTAGAAGTGAAAGAAAGAAAACAAGACATATCTCTTAGTCTTCCTATCCAGGTAATTCTGGGCTCAACAAAAAAGGAATGCTTAGTAAAATTCAAGTTTGTTTTTGCAGTGATATGATACATTATCTTTTGTAGACAGTCATCTAATTATTGGGTGTTAACTCCTATTGAAATCCTACCATACATTTCTAAGGTCAAAAGAGTAATTTGAAATGTATCTTTGTGAAATGAGAAGGGGGGAGAGCCACAAATTTTAAAAGAAAATGGTCTTGAATCTATTGTATTCTAATCACATGCTGTTGTGAGCAATGCCAACATATTATTGATCCTGAAGTCTATTATGCTTCCTTAATTTAGCTCAGGCTGCAAAATTACCATCATAGTTAATGAATGGACATCAGCCTTCCTGCAATAGGGAATGTAAAAAGCCTGAATTTCTATTTTGGCCTCACCAGAGCACTTAGCTTTGGGCCTGATCCAGAACCCAGGAAGCAATGGGAGCCCTTTGAGTGACTTTACTAGACTTTGGATAACTTGTCTCATTCTTCACGTTCAGGATCAAACATCACACCACAAAGAATTCCTTCCCAAGCTCCATTATAACTATATAATTCTACTTGAACTTCCTCTGATCCATCTGTCTACTTGAACCCCCTTACTAGCTAGTCTTAGACACCTGATTTGCAAGAGCTCCCACATGCTTATATAAGGTTTTTAAGCCTCCCACCCTGTTACAGGAATGATCACTCCATTTAAAATATTTTGCCTGAATCTAGTTTGGTCAGAAGTCTTGGGGTATGTTTAGATCAGTGATTTTACACCCTGGAGTACCTTGGAATCCTTTCAAGGGTGTTGCGGAGTGCCACCCAGTGTTAGCACCACTAGATGTGCAACCATGATTCACAAGTTAAACCCAGAGACTTCAAACAGGAATTCATAGTGTTGAAAACCTTTTGACCTATTTTGGTCTTTCTGAGTTCTTTGCAACAGAACAATTGCTCTATTAATTTTCTGTAGCCAAAAAACAAGTGAAAACTGAGAGCTGACATTTTCTGAAGGATGCCTTCAGTTTAATGAGGGGTGCATTGAGTCTAAAAAGGCTGAGAACCAGTGGTCTTGCCTTCACAATGCAGGGAGTTGTAGAAATAAGTGAGCTAACTATAAGCAAGCTGGTTCCAATGCTAGAACCAAGGTGCTTTACCTGGGTTGATTTACCTTGCATTGTGACGTGTATATGTACCTTTAGAAGCTCTTTAATGGTAATGAGAGGAAGTTTTGTTTACTTCACAAACCTGAAATTAGGGAATACTTCATTACTTTGCAGTATTAGAGAAGAAGGTGGGGAAATTACTCTTTGGATAAGAAAAGGAAAGAGTATGGTTCAGGACATTAGATGACCACAGCCTGAAAAGGAAAGAAACTTCTGTTATTGGGTGGCTATTTCTGTTGTCTAATCTGGAGTTCCTGGCATCTTTTTCTGAAGCATCTGGTGCTAGCTAGTACAAATATTATAGTGCACTGAATGCACTAGTGTGATCTGTCATTATCTGTTGTCTAAACCATTTCCAGAAGCTTTAAGTGAAACAAACTTATACCTCATTAGATGCCATTTTTATAATGAAACTTTTGTGTCACATGGACATTTGGGTGACTTTTTTAGGTCCTGGTAAATCAATAGGCAGTAGATGAGACTTTGGTTTCCTTTTGAGTCTAGCTTTGCCATGTGGAATTCAGTAAGTGTGTGTTC